CGCCCGCCAGGGCCCCCGGGGCGCTGGGCACGGGCGACTCCAGGTGCTGCTCCGCCAGCAAGAGCGAGGGCTGAGGACCTTGGAGAAGCAGAGGGGCGCGGTCAGCACCCACTACCCCTCCAGGCCTCGAAGTGTACGGGCCCACTTCCCTCTTTCCCAGCTACTGCTCCCCGACTCATTTCTAGTGATCCCTTCGCCCCGTCTTAGAGTCAATTTCTCAGCTTTTCCTCCCCAGGCACCAGAAAGCAAAAAGGACCTGGGGACGCCGCTCTGGGGTCACCTGTCTGGCCAGCTACGTCCCCACGGCCCTTGTCAGTGTGGAAGGTAGACGGCCAGACAGGTGACCCCGGGGGTGGTCAGGCTTAACGACCTCTATTTCCCAATGGGGACACATCTTGCCTGTTCCACGTGACAGGCAGGGAAACTGAGGCCCGCCCGTAGGGAGTATCCCAAGGTCACACAGGGATACAGCGACTGAATCCCACCCAGATCACAAGCCTCAGGTCTCCTGCCCTCTCGTGTCCAACCACAGGGAAGCCACACCTCCGGATGTGGCAGAGGCCTAGAGACCAGAAGGCCAGAGACTGTGGCAGCTTCAGAGCGCGGGCCTGGGGGCTGGGACGCGGGAGATGCCTTCCTGCCCCACCCCCTTCTGAGAGCCCTGGGAGGCTCCTGCCCTCCCGTCCCACCAGATCCTGGTCTGAGGGTTCCCTAAGGCCTACAACCAGGGCCTCAGTTTCCACATCTATGACCTTGGCTTGAAATCGGTGTCCCCTTCCAGGGCTTCCAGGAACTGAGCTAGGGAAGTTTTCTCTTTCCTTGCTCCCCTTGGGCTGCCGGGACAGGATGGGGGATGGGAAACCAGGACTCACTTTCCCGGGCTACAGTGCCTGCTGGCAGGGATGGGGCTCCCCGGGCACCACAGGGTTAACAGCCCATCAGGCAGGGGACCTTTAACCCTTCCCTCCCCAAGACTCCCCCCTCCCCGAGGGGACTTTCCCAACACAATGGCCCCTCCCCCTCTCCTTCCTCCGCCAGGACTGCGGAGAGGGCCAACCCTGGCCAAAGAGATGCAAATAAAGGCAAAGGCCCCTCGACCCCTCCCCAGAGCCCAGAGTTGACAGTCCTCCCGCTCGGCCCACACTCCCTGCAACAAGAATCCACCAGGGGGTCTAGGGGACCCAGACTGGGGGAGGGCAGCTCGGATGCAGCTGTTGCCCCAGGCCCGGAAGAGACAGTGGGCTGCAATTCGGGGACTGCAGTCAGATTCCAGGAGGGACTTCCCACTTGACCTCCCCCTCCACCCCCAGCCTCCGTCTTCCTGCTTCTTTCAACACAAAGACCACATTGGCCACACCCTCCCAGTGGCCCGGCCGGGCTCGCCACTTCCCCCCTACCCCGTCCTCTCCCACTTCTCCAGTTCCTCCGAGTCTCAGGTCCTCTCTCTTCCCGACTCCT